ACCATGTTGACCAGGATGGTCTTGATCTCTTGACCTCGTGATCCACCCGCCTCGGCCTCCCAAAGTGCTGGGATTACAGGCGTGAGCCACCGCGCACGGCCCAATACTGACTATTCTAACATATACTACTATTAACCAAAATGGGATCATAATACACAAAATTGGACATCTCATTTTTTCACATAATCATGGGCAATTACAAGAAGACAATGGGGGTCTAGGGTTTATGCTTGTAATCCCAATACTTTGGAAAGCCCAGGTGGGAGGTTCACTTGAGGCAAGGAGTTCAAGACAAGAAGAGAATGTATTGTTGCCCAAATTTACCTTACCTTACTTTTTCTCCCATAATATTTCATGAGATTCACATTCCAGCCAGTATATGTTAGGAAATGCTGGACCAGAGAGATTCATTCTAGTCCTCTATTCTATAACTGTACTCTGAAATAACTCCTAACACTGAGTGCACAAAGGTCAGAGAAAGGACTGAGTTCTGGTATATGTGTAAACAATGTGTTGCAGGTTTAAATAACTGAAAACTTACTTTAAGCATATCTCTATCATCTACCTGTTGAAAATACTTGTGGATAAAATAAATAATGTCTGGAATTTATTTCAAAATAATTTGGTTGTGTGCTGAAGGGGATGGGGATATAAATGAGACAAAAGTTGTCATTTGTTGAAGACTGTTGTAGCTGAGTAATGGGTATATGAGGGTTCACTGTACTAGTCTCTTTCTTCTTATTATTTGTTTTGGAGAGACACGGTCTCACCATGTTGCACAGGCTGGTCTTGAACTCCCGGCATCAAGCAATCCTACTGCCTTGGCCTTTCTCTTTACTTTTGTGTACTCTTGAAGTTTTCCAAAATAGAGAGTTGAAAAAGAAAAAAAGGAAAGGAAATGACTGGATCCTAGAATGGTTCTGCTACAAATTCTTATTTAAATATACGCACTTAAAATACATGGGATTTATTTTAAAGAAACTATTGTTTCCATCAAATGATATCACTTCATTTATCAAGGGAAATAAGAGAATTACATTTGAACATTCAATTTTAACTGTAAGATGATCTATATCTTCTGATGTCAAAAACACTGAAATGGAGGAATTATGTATATCTTTAGCCAATTGATTTTGGTAAATATATTATGGCAGAGACTATATTCACATGCCTCCATTTCCCAGATTAGCTCTGGTCAAAGCTGGGTGAGCAGATGCGCCATATCTCAATTCTGGACTAAGGCAGTTAGAAGTCACTTTGCTTTGGTTTTCCTGCTTCAATGACAATGTAGGTTACATTTTGAGATGGTGGCTTCACAATATGGAAGGAAGATGGATCACTAAGCTACTGGATGGAGAGCCCCTACTGACTCCCACTGAACTGTGTGCAAGAGAAACATTTCTGTTGTGTTAAGCCATTGATATTTTGGGATTTGTTACCACAAAACAGTCTAATAATATTGTGGAAATAGACAAAGACTGCCCAAATGGAAACAAGCAGAGGCTATGTAATCAGATCTGACTATATAGGTAGAGAATCAGCCACTATCAATTTGCACTTGGCAAAGATTCAAAGGCAAGCAGGGGAGTGGGAAATCTTTACACTAAAAAAAAGGGGAAGACTTCAGGTATGCTCTGATTGTAGGTTGCTGGCATGGGAAACTGAAGGTGGGCTAACTGGTACAAACCAAAAATAAAATGCTAAGTCAAGCCTCCTCTCAGCCAACAGCGTTCAAAAATTAACCTGAAAATTAACCTGAAAAACTAGTTCCGGCCATGATGGGAAGAGGGGTTTGGCCATGCCCCATTATTCCCTCCTCCCTTTTGGAATTCTGGCACAGCTGACCAGCATTAACATTAAAACAAATCTTAAGACTGACAAAACACTCTTTGTAGCAATAGGATACCCAATTCCAGCCTGACTCTAGCATAGTATCACATGACAGGTGGCAGGCCCTTAAAGTAATCTAAGTATTTGACCCCAAATTATGTTTCTTTGCCATATCTTGAAACTGTCCTGCAAAACTGTCTCTTGTGGGGAAAATCTACATTCCAAAGACAATTCCCTTCCTTTCTCAGGCCTTTTGCCTGATTCAGGAGAGAATCAAACCTGATAAGAAACATTTATAGTGTATTATCTCTGAAGCCTGCTACCTAGAGACTTCCTTTACATAACGGGAAACTTGGTCTCCACAAGTCCTAACTCAGACATTCCCTCCTATTGATTCTATCTGCATAATGGGAACCCTAGTCTCCATAATCCCTTATCTTTTTTTTTGAGAGTCTCGCTCTGTTGCCCAGGCTTCAGTGTAGTGGCATGATCTTGGCTCACCACAACCTCTGCCTCCCAGGTTCAGGTGAATTCTCCTGTTTCAGCCTCCTGAGTAGCTGGGACTATAGGCATGTGCCACCATGTCCAGCTAATTA